TGTTCAACATGATGGTTTTGAATTGCTTGAAATATGATTGGAATCACTTAAAAAAGGGAAAATACAGTAAAGTTCATATAGGCTACATAAAATTATAATGAGAATGATGGCTTTTAATTGTGAGACTTTTGTTTTTGTAATCAGGCTCTCAAAAATTATTACAAAATTTGGATTTAGATTTATCGGCCAATATATCGGTTATCAGCTTTAAAATATAAAGAATTATCGGTATCGGCCAAAATTTTCCTATCGGTGCATCCCTAATAAAACCAGTCCATACAGCTTGTACTTTCAGAGTCTTCTGAAACCACTTGAACTTTAGGCTTTTATTCACTGAAAATCTTCCCTTCTGCTGTAGCTCATATTTCTGTATTTTACATACTCAACCCACAGGTTCACTTATGATAAACTTGAAAACCAACGCCGTTTTAGCACCAATGACATCAAACCTACCACTATTTTTTTAATTCTGAGCTTGAACCCAAATTATATTTCAGAGCTTGAGTGGTGAGGAGGATTATCAGTGAACGATGACTAAAATATATGTTCCACATAAAGCTATAATATTGCTTTAGAAGACTTGGAATATAGCTGTATGGACCACTTTTATGATGTTTTTGGGAGCCTTTTCAGTCACAATGTAGCATCATCAATGTATGGAAAATATGTCCATTGTGTTCCAAAAGAAAAACCGAGCCGAATTTTTCTTGTTTTTTGGGGGGGGGGTTTAAGTCTTTTTTTGGAAAAATAAACGTTTCTAATTATTCTGCTTTCAATATTAAAAAGGGTAAAAAAAAACACTTGAACAATGCGAACAAACTAAAAAACAACAACAGAATTTCCATCTTTGGATGAACTACCTTTTCATTTTATTTTAGCATTAAAGCATTGGATAAAATGACGGTTTTTGATTTCATATTTGGCAATTCAAAGTAAATGGCAACTCTAGACGAACATTTAGCTTCACCCTCTTCCATGAGCAGACCTGGGCCAGCTGGTTGGCTGTGGCTGGCAAACTCGTTCAAGGCAGACGGATGGTTACGATTCCCAAAAGAGGGACGCATGAGTGGTACGGTGGGGTTAGTCTGGGGTATACAAGAGGGCTGCGGAGTGGCAGGCTGCACAGGAGAGGATGTGCTAATGCCAGCGAAAATCTGGCCCAACATCTGCAGCATCTGCAACTCTCTGGAATGTTCCTCCTCCCTGCGCTTATCCTCAGCCTGAAGACGCTGCTCCTCGAGCCGGTAGAAGTTGTCTTCTGCTTCCATGCTCTGCTCCAAGAACTTCTCCATCAGCTTCTCCAGCGACATGTTCGCGAATCGCTTCTTGCTTCTCCGTGGCCTGCTCGACGAGGATGCGGGCGGGTTGGTCTTTGTCAGGCTGCTCTGTTTGGTTGGAAATGAACCTTCGAAAGAAAAAGATACAGATATTAACATGCACATACATAGAGCAAACCAGGCCGATTGGGCTAAAGATGGCAGATCATTGCTTTCTGACTGATCAGAATAAGTTGACATACTCATGCCTCCTACTGTCACCGGAATGGGGCAGGATGGATACTCAGTTTTGACTGTATGCTCCATAAAAGAGCATTCACCACTGCCATCCATGTGAGCCTCCTGCAAGAGTTCAGTACTCTCAGCATCTTCATCCATCGTTTCATCTCCCCCAACGGCAATACTATCAATATCCTGCCTCTCTACTAACGGTCTATTGCTCAATATCCTCTCCATCTCGTCGTAGAACTTGCACATCTTGTGGTACTGCCCATTTTTCCTGGATCCCTCCTTCGCTTGGAAATACTGCCTCTTTAAGCTCTTAACCCGTATTCTGCATTGGTCTGGTGTCCTATCGAAGCCCAGTTCGCACAAACGGTTCGCGACGTCTCTGTAAACGTGGCTATTCCTAAAGTTTCCGTCCAGCGCCGTCTGCACATCGTGCTCACCCCAGATATTCAACAGCGCTCTGGTCTCCATGTCCGACCACAGGAAACCGCGCGTTGCATTCACTAGCATGATGGTCGAAGCAACCGAGCACGGATGCAACTCGGTTTCGCATCGAACAGGCGGCGGCGATATCTAGGCCTTGCTTTGACGACGTCTCATGCAGTTTCCGAGCGCATAGCGACAAAGGCCTCGCCGAGATTAACTGAGCTGGTTTATGCAAAGCTGCTTAGAACTTCGCCAGTGTTTACCGCGCCAACAACAGTAAGAACGTCACCACAACGTTGTGTACTACGTCATCGCAATCGTGCGCTCCACGCCACGGCTCAGTGGCGAAAGACGTAAAATAGCTTTGAGAATGTTTCCAAGAATACTTTTAAGAAAACACTTTCACTCTGCATGTTCAACTTATCGTGTTCAGTGTTTGAAAAGTGAGTAAAGCTTAATAAACAAAATAAACTAATACAATAAAGTGTGGTTCAAAACTTACAGGGTGAGGATATGCGATTCAGTTTAAACCGGACAATAAGCTGAAGAATCTTAAATGAATAAAACATTAATGAAAAACAAACAAACATTTGTGACATGTGAACTCCTTCGGAACATACTCAAATCATACATAAATCACCAGGCTTTGCATAAACTCGTGGAGTTCACTCAAAACGTTGATGCTTTCATTTATAATGAAAATGCATTCAATTAAAAATAGATCGGAAGCATTTGGACTCCACTACTAAGTGGCACTTTCCTTTGGCATTTACCTTTATCATACAGCAACACTGCTACAATCGCAATGGTTACAGTTATCACGCCGAGAAGTGAGCATTTACGTCCATGCATTCCGTCCTCCTCAACCTACTCATAGTTTGGGAAAGCAACCAACGATAAACTCCGATCTTACCAATTGCCAGAATTAGTGGCTGTTCAGAGAAAATGAAGGTGGCACGTTTGAGCAGATTCATCAAGTTCACGGGTAAACAAACACTGTTCAGGTAGAGAGTGGGCGCTGTGGAGCTTTGTACAGGGATTAGATGCAGTATCCAGTCAGATAACAGGAACAAAGTTCAATATTTGTTCTAATTAATGAATCTGTGATCGGACTTCTCTCGATCAGATAGACACAGATTGTCCTCCCTCTACAATCGTCAGACTTCCGCTGACGCTCTGCTTTTGTCGCTTATGCGTGATGACATAAGCGAAATTCAGTCCACATGTGACATGAAATACACCCAAAACAATGCCACTCACTGTAGCGACGACTGTTTACAATGATATTAAAACTGCAAAAACAGCGATATTTATTTAGCGCCGCCTTAACTGTTTTACTTCCTGTGACGTTGGCACTGAAGTTAAATTTGCTCCGCCCCCCACTGTTAAGCTGGAAAGAACTCTGACTCATGTAGGCGAATCGGTTCTTATGAACAGCCATTTTCAAAGAACCAATTACAAAAGTGATTCAATTGATTTATTTAAAGGGATAGTTTACTCAAAAATTAAAATACTGTCATTTATTACTCACCCTCATGACGACTTTCGTTCATCTTCAGAACACTAACGAAGATAATTTTGATGAAATCTGAGAGCTTTCTGTCCCAGACAGCTACACAACTATCACTTTGATGCTTCAAAAAGTCCATAAAGAGATCGTAAAACTAATCCATATGAATTGAGCGGTTTAGTCGATTAACCAATGAGGTTCATTCTCGTGTGTTATGCAGCACATTTGAGCTTTGGCAAGAACCAATAATGTTAATTCTTGTGTTACGCAGCACTTTGTGCTTCAGCAAGAACCAATTAGGTTAATTCTCGTGTTACGCAGCACATTTGTGCTTCAGCAAGAACCAATTAGGTTAATTCTCGTGTTAAGCAGCACGTTTGAGCTTCCACAAGAACCAATGAGTTTCATTCTTGTGTTACACATGCACATTTGAGCTTCATTAAGAACCAATGAGTTTCATTCTCATGTGTTACCATGCAGCATGTTTGAGCTTCCACAAAATGTTTGTTCTTGTTCGTCATGCAGATTTGGTTGAGCTTCTGTTTATGTTCACTGATCAATGTTTATGTGAATAAAAGCCCTTAATTAAATCTGTTCATCATACAAAGCGATCGAGTCTCTTCAGAAAATTTGGATTAACCGCTCAATTGAAATGGATTAGTTTTATGTCAAAGTGGTAGTTGCGTAGGCTGTCAACGGAGGGACAGAATCTCTCAGATTTGATCAAAAAGATCTTCATTTGTGTTCAGAAGATGAACGAAAGTTTTACGAGTGGACGACATGAGGGTGAGTAATTAATGACAGAATTTTTCAATGAACAATCCCTTTAAGCCAGGATGTCATCACATGGTCCCTTGATCCAAGCATATGCTCTAAAATGTTAGCAATATCATTTGATGATTTCATTCTTTGTATATTTATTTTATTTAGTTGTATTTTTATTTTCCTTAGAACTGTCCTGTACCACCTATTGTTGTAAAAAAAAAAATGCTCAAACATTTTCAAATAAAGATAATGTAGACATATGATTACATTGTATCAATTAGACATTGACATAGACATATTGATTATGTTTGTATTAATTAGCGCATTCTGCATTTTCATGTGTCCCAGTTTATGTTACAGGCATCATTACAATTATAAAAACACAATTAGCATTTGCATTAAACAATAACAAAACTTCATTTAAATAGGGAGCTGGTTTTTAGCACGAAAAGCACTCGGACTGATTCAATCAGATTCTTGAACGAATCTTGACTCAAAAGAATGATTCGCTGACGAATCGGACAGCCCAGCATTACCGCTGAACACAACTTGAAAGTTCTTTAGTTAGAAAATCGGCGTCGTTACTAATTTTCTGTCAAATCTTTTTTTTTTATTTTGTTTATTTTCTGACTTAACCCACACAAATGGGATTTATTTCGCCAAGCTTTGTACGGAGGACGTAATAAGATCATGCACTTTAAAACGCATGGTTCGAAAGCCCGTCCTCTGGATTGTTTATGTAGAGGTTTTACCTGTAAGAGTTGAGTGTGCATGAGTGGCATGTGTTTGGAGACATGCCTCAAGCCTCAAGGACCAAGAAACCCGACGTGAAAGTCGTCATTCTGGGGGACATGAACGTAGGAAAGACTTCTCTCCTCCACAGATACACGGAGAGGAAATTTAAGGACACTATAAGCACCGTCGGAGGGGCGTTCTTCCTCAAACAGTGGGGACCCTACAACATATCCATATGGGACACTGCAGGTTGGCTACTTCTACTCTTTTTTTTTAGGAAAACAGAGCCCAAAATATATAAACACGTTATCACAGTGTGTTTCGCAAAAGCTGGATGTCTTTTAAAAGAATACCAACCAAGTCAGCTGAACTTTTAACTAAATAAACACAGTCTTATGTCAGATGATAGTTATTTCAATAATATCTTGTTTTGTTACTATGTTTTTTATGAGTTTCTGCTTTATTTGTTGGCATTTGTTACATCCTGATTTAAGAGCTCAGAAATGCTTTCTCACAGTGATGGTAATTGGCCTTTTTTTCGTAAATGTCAGCACTTTTTGTTCCTCATTCAGATAACTGGCCCTGTCATGCGTGAAGTTCATACTTGACCTACTTCAAAATTTACAGGAAAAAAAATATATATATATTTGGCCTATTTTATTTATATTTAGAATGTCATATGGAGACCGTGTTTTTTTTTTACTTCTGCATATTTTATCTGATTTGTATGTAAATGAGTAAATGCCTAAATGCCTTGGTCAATGTTTGAAAACTTCACCCATTAAAGGCACTTTTTAACTCTTTTGTTTAGTGTAAAATAATAACATTCTTAAGGTCTAAACAGACGACATATTATCATTGTATATGGATATAATCTATCTATCTATCTATCTATCTATCTATCTATCTATCTATCTATCTATCTATCTATCTATCTATCTATCTATCTATCTAATGTAGAAAGTAGCCTATGTCATTTCCTGTGGAATTTTATTTTGTTCAGATGACAGATGACCCCGTGTACTGCTGTTTGGTCTCTTATCTGACAAAAAGTCACATGCTTGTGTTGTGTGCTAGTCAGATGTGTGTGTGTGTGTGTGTGTGTGTGTGTGTGTGTGTGTGTGTGTGTGTGTGTGTGTGTGTGTGTGTGTGTGTGTGTGTGTGTGTGTGTGTGTGGAAACTAAAGGTTTTACTGGTCACACAGTTGTTTCTCAGGGGTGGGGATCTAGGAGGGAGGAACGAAAGACATTCACCATCAAGTTATGAAGCTGTACATTTCTCAGTTTTTCCTAAATGTGGGAGTGTGGCTCTATTTGTGTTTAATGGAAAAAAATAACCTGGATTTCCAGGAATGTAAAGCATGCAGATCATCATATGAGCAAATTGACAGTTTGTCATATATTTTTATTATTATTTAATTTTCATGTTCCAAGACTTTAACCCCGTAAAGCCCTCTAAATTACCTGCATGATCAAAACATTGCTTCTGCCCTCTGACTGATCTGATCTGATCTCATTTTTACAAAGTAAAAGCCCTTTTAGTATATTTAGAAAAAAAAAAATTGTCAGGTCATTGTTACTCCTATATTTTGTTGGGAGATATAGAGTGGCAACTGATATTTATATGCATTTTATCTAAGTAGTCTATGGAAGTTTGTTACTGCCACAGAATACAAAATAAAAAAGGTATTGCAACTTTTATCTCACAATTCTAACTTTTTTTTCCCACAATTGCAAGTTTACATCTCACAATTCTGACTTTGTTTATGTAAAAAATGTAATTTAACGTGTAAAACACGTGATGACGTCAAACTTTAGCGCTTCAGTAATTTTTTTTAATTATTAACACATTAACAGCTCATTAACACATTTTACCCTTATCATTAGTTCATCTGGTGATGGTAGTAATAGTATATATGGCTTACTTTCTCTGTATTACCTCACCATGTCTGAGTGGATATTGTTGGTGCTTCTGAAGCTCATACAGCAGAGCACAATGCCAAGTTCATGCGTTTGAATTCAGGGAAAGTATGGACTAATAAATTGTACACCATGTATATACTGTAAATCCCAATGTTAAGTGTATTCATTTTTATGACATCTCGATGTTGTGTAAGCTTATTTCACTGGGGAAGGAGTTTTTAGTTGTTAAAGTTACAGTATGTACAAATTTATGTACGAACTTGGGATGGTCCAATTGATCAGCCGCAGATCATTATCAGCCGATAACCACATTCGATGGCTGCGTCTGAAATCGCATACTCTCTTGAGTAGGTACTTGTTTTCAATAAGTAATTACTTCATAACCGCAAAAAAAAAAGCATGTTCTATAAGGTATGAATGTGTGTAGTATGAATTTAATCTGGACGTAGTACATTCACCATGTTGTCATTATCATGTGACCTACCCAGCCTCAGTTATGTCGCTTCACTGCAAGTCATAAATCCTCTCCCGTGGCATCATGGGATAGTAAGGTGTCCATCATATGCACACTTCAGAATCTCACTGAAAGAAATAAGTCATCCTGCTACTTTTAGCTTACTCTTTTATGAGTACAGTGAATTCGGACATAGGCTACTTATTTTGCCGAACACTGTTTTTTTGCCTACTATATTGTAGGGAAGTATACGATTTTGAATGCAGCCTATGATTCGATCGGCATAACATAGTCACTAAATTTGGCCAATCTCACAAACCTATACCAATTTGATGACATCAAACACGCGATGACGTCATACTTTTTTTAAAATTACATTTCAAGAAACATACAAAAAACATTTAACAACCAACAGACATGGGGGATACATAACAGAGCTTTCATAGACATTTTCAGAAGAAAATCTTTTGGTCATCTCTGTGTCTAGGTGGCTGAGGCAGCTCCTCCTCCTCACACTCTTTCTCACACACATACACACACTCACACACACACACACACACAGAGCAGACAGCGTGTGTGATTACCTGCGTCTGTCCTTCATCAGGTCAAGTCATATATTTGTGAAAAAATCAGTTTGCCATCAGTTGTCAGAAGATGAAAGCGATATCTTTGTTGAAGTATCCTTTCAACGTTTAAGGGGATTTTCCATCCGTCAACGCTGTTCAATGCATTGAATCAATGTGAAGCTTCAGCGTTACCCAGGTGACGTGTTACACAACGATTGAGCCTTGTAAAGTGGTGCTCAAAGTTAAATTAATTTCAACACCTTGTTTCATCCGCATTTTTAAGCGTATTATTGAATGAACTCCATCACTTTCTTTGCCCGCCTCTGGATGAAGATACGGAGCCAGGGCTGGCACCAAGGGGAGGCATTCATGGGCCATTCTCCCTCTCCCAAAAAATAAAAACGAGTTACTGTTTAAAGTCTTCTAGGCTCTTTGATAAGCCGAAGCATCTTAATATGGATAGTGTTTTGTGGAAACTCTGTTTTTAAAGGCCTATTAACATGTTCATTGTAAAATGAATATTTGTTGTGCTTGTTTATTTGATTGTCAATTAAAATAAAATAGGCCTACAACATTACTGTAAATAATATAACCAAGGCAACATCTGTGGTATTACTTTATCAGAAAAAAAAAAGGTTAGCCGTGACAGTCAACGGAGAGCTTACATATCACTTAAATAAAGCTTGAATGATCGGGATCAGTACTGGCCGATCATGATAACAAAAAAATCAGTGGTCGCATCGGCTGCAAAAATCCTGATCGGATCATCCCTACGATGAACATTTGATCTCAAATAGGAATTAATTAGAATGAATTTCTTATGATTTTAACTTTGAACTTGATTTGGTGGCATGCAAGTATTTGAAAAATTAAAATGAGCCATGCTTATTATAAGTATTAGACGTTTAATTTTCATTAGAGGTCTATAATTTTACACATTTTGCTGCATGAAATGCATAAGAATAAGGAACAAAGCTCTCTCTCACATCCTTCAGACACAGACAGTAGAAGCCAAGTTGGTTGAAGACCACTACATATTTTTACAACAATAAGCTCTTGTATTTCTGCTGTTACAGCTCTCAGTATGATGACTGACAACCTTTGGCTTTCTTTTTTTATAGGAGAAAGTGAAAAGAGAAAGTGATAAGTTTACCCCCATCCGTAACTTTTTATTTCTTTAACTAAGTAGATTTGGCCCCTTAGAACTATTCAGGCTACTTGTGTTTAATTCTGTTGACCTTTGTACCGTTGAATCCTCATCAGTAGGGTTGTAAAACGTACAACATTTTCTAACTGTAACGGTAATGCACAAACTTTGTATACAGCAGGCAGGTTGTATTTAATGTTTAATATGTTTTACTTTGTAAGTCTCAAATATACACCATATTTAGTTCAACTCAAACCAATGTCCTGAAAACTGTTACCTAACCGTTACCTTTGTGTTGTTGTGACTGATGAAACATTTCCATTTTTGAGAACAAATGATCTAGTTGTGGCCAAATACATTTTACACTCGAATGGATTTCATTGAATATATTGACAAAAGTATTAGGACACCTGACCATTACACCAACAGTGACTGTAATGATGTCACATTCTAAATACATAGACATTAATATGGAGTTGGCTGCCCCTTTTCAGCTATAACAGCTTCCACTCTTCTGGGAAGGGTTTCCACAAGATCTTAGATTGTTTCTGTGGGAATGTTTGCCCATTCATCCAGTATAGCATTTGTGTGGTCAGGCACTGAGGTTGGACAAGAAGGCCTGGCTCACAATCTCCGTTCCAGTTAAACCCAACGATGTTCGATGGGGTTGAGGTCAGGGCCAGTCAAGTTCTTCCACACAAATCTCATCCAAACCATGTATTTATAGACCCTGGTTTGTGCACTAGGGCACAGTCATGCTGGAATAGAAAAGGGCCTTTCCGAAACTGTTCCCACAAAGTTTGAAGCATAGCATGGTCCAATAAGTCTTGGTGTGCTGAAGCATTGAGATTTCCCTTCACTGGAAGTAAGGCACATAGCCTGAAAAACAGCCCCACACCATTATCCCTCCTCCACCAAATTTGACAGTTGGCACAATGCAGTCAGACAGGTCATGTTCAACTGGTTTCTGCCAAACCCAATTTCGCCCATCAGACTTCAAAATACAGAAGCGTGATTCGTCACTCCACAGAACCTGTTTCCACTGCTCCAGTCCAGTGGCGGCATGCTTTACTCCACTCCATCCGACTGCTTGGCATTGTACTTGGTGATGTGAGGCGTGCGTGCTGCTGCCCAGCCATGGAAACCCATTCCGTGAAGCTCCCGCCCCACAGTTTTTGTGCTGATATTAATGCCAGAGTTTGGAACTCTTCAGCGATGGAATCAGCAGAGCGTAGGCGAGTTTTACGCACCATGCTCCTCAGCACTCGGTGAACCGCTCAGTGACTTAATGTGGTCTTGTGTTTCATGGCTGAGTTCCTAAATGCTTACACGTTTTTGATAATACCACTTTCAGTTGACCTTGGAATATCTAGCAAGGATCAAAATTTCATGAACTGACTTAAGGTGTGTTCACACTTGTAGTTTGGTTCGCTTGGTTTGTTTGGTCCGGAGTCCGAACCTAACACTGAACCTAAAGATACCAAACCTAAAGGCATAGGGTTATGTTCACAACCTGATTGGTCGGCTTTTATTATGTATATTTCGATACGCAACTGACAGAACATCCAAAACAATGCTGTGTGCTAGGTCGGATAAATGCACTCGTTGTATGTGCGTAGCCTACATATGATGGTATTCCCGACCAGCTGCGAACTCGCGAAGAGCTTATAAATGTGTAAAGGAGTCAAAACAGTGGCAGGAATCCCTCTGTCACACACACAAACATAGATCTGCTGCTAGGGGTCGCGGTTCTGATGCCTGTACTGAAATGTGATGGGCAATATTGTGACTATGATGAGAAAAAAACAGGTATGCTTGAGCATTGTCCTTTTTAGAGACGCATCTTGTGACATCATGTCCCTTTTTTGGTCTGTGTTGCATTCATATATCATTCGAACCGCACCAGAGTTCATTTGGAAGCGGGGCGAGACCCATCTTTTCAGCGATCTTGGTCCACTTGTTTGGTGCGTACCAGGGCAGCGTTCACACTTATTCAAATGAACCGCACTAACTGAGCAATCGCACCAGGGTTCGTTTTAATCGAACCAAACTGGCCAAGTGTGAACACACCCTTATTGTAAAGGTGGCATCCTATCACAGTACCATGCTAGAAATCACAGAGCTCCTCTGAATTACCTTTTTTTTTTTTCATAAATGTTTTTAAATGAAAACTTCCTTCCTAGGTGCTTGATTTTATACACCCGGCCAATGGGTCTGTTTGAAACACCTGATTAAGTGTGTCAGTGTCCCAATACTATAATATAATTTTTTTTGTCTTAGAAAAGTAATGTACAAGTATTCCGTTTAAATTGTACTCAAGTAAAGTGCAAATTCTCCAAATGAATACTGATTGTCACATTCGGTGCTGTGCAGGTCGAGAGCAGTTCCATGGCCTGGGCTCCATGTACTGCCGTGGCGCGGCTGCAGTCATTCTCACCTATGACGTTACCAACTGGCAGAGCCTGGCAGAGCTGGAGAACCGCTTCCTGTCCCTGACCGACACCGCCAACACTGACTGCATATTCGCCATAGTGGGTAACAAAGCAGACCTTACGGACGCTCTAGCTCAAGGGCCAGACACAGAGAGCGAGCGAGCGGACGAAGCCCAGCCCGAGGTCACGTGTCCGACTCCTCCCGGCACTGCGCTCCAGCACAAACAGGTGAGCAGAGAGGACGCCGTCGCTCTGTACGCCCGCGTGCTGCGCTACAAAGGCCTGGAGGAGAAGGCCTGTCTGCCTGCCGAGACCGTGTGCTTTGAGACGAGTGCTAAAACGGGTTACAATGTGGACGTTTTGTTTGAAACCCTCTTCGATCTGGTTCTGCCCTCCATTCTGAAGAAACGGAGCGAAGGAGAGAGTTCCACTGTGGACCTGGAGACGCCAATGGAGGTGAAAAGGACTAAAGCAGGATGTTGTACCTAGAGCCAGGCAAACATAGGAGGCGTGAGGATTGTGGGATTGTGTTGTCAATCAGTGCCAAAGAAGGAATGGATATAAATCATACCGCCACTAACTTAAACTAGAGTTTATTTGAACTACTGCTATGTGCTGATTTTTTTATTTTACTCCAGAGCAGTATTAAAACAAACTTTTTTGGGGGGGAGGAATTAAAAGATAGAATAACTTGATCTTGCTGAATAGTCTTTGTTTTAATTTTGTGAAATAGGTTTTATTTTCTTTGTTGTTCTTTGCATTAATGGAACGGAATGGTCATGATCTCTGTGATTATTATTATTTTTTTGAAATTATTTCTACATTATATTTTGTAAAAATTCTATGAGCATTTTCTGATACTGCCTCACTAATTCTAATATGAGAAAAATAAAAATTCTTAAATCTTGGAATAAATGGGTTAATCTGTGTGGTTAGTGTGAGAAAGCTTCACGAAGTACACTGTCATTCAAAATGCTGGTAGTTATGCTGATTTGCTGCTCAAGAAACATTATAATCAATGTATAATCAAGAGTTGTGCTGCTTAATATTGTTGTAGAAACCATGATACATTTCTTTAGAATTTTTTGATGAATAGAAAGTTCAAAAGAATAGCATATGTTTGAAATAGACAGAAAGTGGTCTTCAATTACTTTTATTTTTACAAGAATTGATGTGGGCCCTATATAAGGTGCTTTATAAATGAATAAATAAATAAACTTCATACTTTCTAAAAGGTAGATCTTGTTCAGATATAATTAAAATGAGAGATGACACAAATGTAACAAACAAAAAGCATTTATTGTTGTTTTATTCAATAACACTATGATTCAAAATCAATGTCTTCAAATATTCCACATAATTACATTGAAAGTACAAAAAAAGAAAATATGCAAAAAAAAAAAAAAAAGCAGTGACATTCTAAATGCAAATATTCTGAATTATAATCTTATTTGGTTCTCTTTACTGGTATCACATACATGTTAGTGGTTTATGGGCTTCAGGGCAATAATACTTGTGCAATGTGCACTGAAAAGTCCAAAACTTTTAGGTGACATTGTTTACAGACTCAATGGAGAATATAGCCTGTTTGTGCATTTATGTGGAAGTGGGACAAAGATTGAACTACAGTCTTCTAATGACCTGACCATGTGTCATGTAAACATCAGTGAAATCAGTGCAATTGGTGTAACCAACAGAGGGTTCAAACAAACAAACCAGAATGAGCCTCTTGACTGGACAAAATTCTAGTAAAAAGCTTCAAGTCTCAAAGTTTATGACCTTTTATGAAATAAAATACCCAATGAATAGTGTGTGACAACATTAGATGATAAAGGGTTCATGCTAAAAAAATACATATCCAAGAGTGATGATTCGAAGCTGTTCATTACATAAACAAACACAAAGCAAAAATAATATACAGGCATCAGAAGATGGTGTTAGTGTAAGTCTTGTGAAATTATATTTATATAATGAATAAAAATAGCAGATAGCATTGTGTTTAAACGGCCTTGTGGTTAAGCATTGTGTCATTGAGCCTTAATAATCATGTGTTATTAAATTATTCTGGTTCAGATTCTGATTCAGTTAGTTCCTCAATGGTTCTGTTAACAATTATTTTAGTAATTTTAAAGAAGAGGGAACGTTCTTATTGAAATTTTGATTGCCATCACTATCCTCAGAAATCATGTTGTCAAATGATTAGATCCTTTCAGATTCCAATAGAACAAAGCAACAATCTAAAAATGAACTGTATATAATTCAAATTGTATTTTGCAACTTTGCTATCTGTTGTTGAATTCAGATGTTCAAAAAGCCATTAAAGTCCCCCTGCAGTCAATAGTTTTATCCCTTAAAACTAATCTTTGATCATAAAAATTACATATTTAAAGTTTTTTCCTTTGAAAAAAAATCTTCATGCCTTAAAATAGTTTGAATGGAACTCTGCACCCTTGCCTCATTTAGTACGTGCGGTTCTATGAATATGCAAATTATCCCCGCCTCCACTCACTCACACCAGCTCAGAGATCCACTCGTTGATGATCACATGTTGACGTGATTGGTTACAAGGTAGTTTGTGACGTCAGAAACACCAGCGATTTCAAACCGTGTTTTTGAAACTGTCTTTGGTTCACTGCAGTTTTAAGGAGGAAATACTCAGCAATGGTGTTGACTTGTGAATTTGCACATGGTTTGTCTTAAAGCATATTAAAAACACCACATAGACATAAACAACATTAAAAGCTTGATTTTCACCACAGGGGGACTTTAACTGAAATCACTGGGTTCCAGTTTTTTTAAAAGGCAGTGAAAGAGATGGCAGATGCCACTTCCATGTGTGGTCCTAAAACAGATACAGATTGGATGTTTTGCAATGGGACATCAGTTTGAAGTCATATCGTTCGTAATCCATGTGACTTTTACGCAACATTCGTCACAATTCTGCCCTGATGGAAGTCACTCTTTGGTTCTTTTAGTTCTTTGGAAGTACGTGAATAACTTGAACAGCCAAAAAGGAAAAACAATTCTAATCTGAGCAATAAATCAGAATTGAGTACTAAGGCTTGCAGTGTGAATGTAGCCTAAGTGTAACAAAAAGTAGATTCTGTTTACACCAAATGTGAACAGCAACAAATTGCAATAGACGCTTAATAGAAGTCATATGCTATTTGTACTAAGGATAAATAGCCTTTGCTAACAATGTCGGCTATTTGCATTTAATATATAAATAGACACTGCCTTTTAAAACAATGGAACCAGTTCTGAATAAGAACCGGTTCTTGATTCACATAAAGCACTACCACATAACACGAAAGGGCAGAGAAGTGCATAAGCATGGGCTTCTTTGGTTCAGCTGTATGTATTAATAACAAGAGATTCAGGTTTCATAATGCTGAGGTAATAAGTTAGAAACTAAGCACCATTTCATACATAGAAAAGTAAATAATACAGAGAAATATCATAGCTATGCTTTCATGCATCTCTTGCTTCACTTCTCATTATGCACACGTACGTATATCTTCGGTCATAAGGCACACAGTAGTGATGAAGAGTGAATCCGAGGGCATGTCATATGTGATGCATTAAATACATGAAGTCATTTCAAAAGCCTAACTTGCAACATTGACATCCGATTGCAATTTGGAATGAAGAATTCTGAATTGTGCAGGTGTTACTTGTAATGCTGCTGCAATAGTGTCAAAGTTCATAGGTTACAGGTCACAGGTTCTTCATACACACTTGGCAGCGGCTGATGCGTGACAGGAGCTGACCGGCTTTAAGTGTCTCAGAGACAGGGGAACTCTGGAAGGACTGATCGATAGAGGTCAACCAGAAACTCTGCTTGTTGGCGAAGTAGTGACATGTACCTTTGGCCCCGTTACACTCGATGAAGGGAGTGGTGCGGAAATCTTCGAGACAAGAGCCCGGAGACACCAGAGACTGACCGCCACCTTCATCTCCAGCTGCCGTGTGCTGTGTGAGTGTGACAGAACCAGTTAGAGGTCTTGGCAAACACGTTTCAATGATGAAAGTGTAACAATTTTGAACTGAAGTCTCACCATAAGGAAGGAATAGCCAATCCAGAGACTTCTCCAGCCTGCTGGGCATTGTGGGATAGTTATATCTTGGCTGTGTATGGCGATGGCCACAGTTGGAGCTTCACACACGGAACAGCGGCTGATGTATGGTTTTATCTCGGCCTCCTCCACAGGCATCATGGGAATTGGTGCGTTGGTGGACAGCCAATAGGATTTGTCATTGCGGCTGGCATAGTAGCATACGTCTCCCGGATTGCAGTACAGGAAGGGCATGGTGTTAAAACGGGGGAGACACGAGCCGGCTAGACCTGGAAAACAAAACAGAGACCTGTGAGGCATTTTAAAGCTTTCAGAGAATCACAAAGTAGTTACTGATAATTAAAAAAAAGAAGAAGAAGAATAGAACAGAACTTGCCAGTTTCGGTTTTCAAGTTTATACATGTCCTATCAAAAGCATGTTTAAACTAACCCTTACAATCCATACCGCATTTGGCCAATTCATTTCGAATGATGCTGTTACATATGACTTTTTCTGACTGTGCTACTAGTCCGGTTTCAAACTAATATTAGGGTCCATGTAAATGCAGATACTGTAGAAAATGCACTTTCAATTTCATAAGCGAACACTACACAATGCTATGTAATTCAACATTCATATTCTGGATCTAAAGTTGTGATGGCGGTGTCAGACATGCAATGACTCAACATCTTGTTATTGATTTTATTACGTTGTCATCTGCACTCACCCAGGTCTTGGTTGTGGGCCTTCTCCTGTCCCTCAAAGTACAGAAGGCTATAACCATCCCATAACTTGGACATGCCCACAGGGCACATGGGGGTCTGTTCCGACTGACTGTGCTTCACCAGCAGGTAGCCAACGTTGACACTGCGGCCAGCCATTCCAATTGGACCGGGTAAACCAGAGCGTCCTCGGGACCCTGTGAATTCAGATTCATTATCGACTTGTAATTCAAGTGTGCAGCCAGACAGAAAAACAATTCACATGGAAATTATTTCCATTCTTTTCATTTAATTCTTTCTGTTTATACAAAACCAATAATTTAAAAATGAATACAATCTAGAAACTTTGTTTTAAACAATGACATTGTCCTAACTGAACAAATTAAAGAATGTTACCAGTTCCCAAAATTACACAACGAAAAATAAACTCATAATCATTTAAAAATAAACCTGGACCTCTTGGTGACCAGTCGTCTGCAACCCTTAATCCACTAATCTAGCCCAGAATCCCATAATCCTCATCCATCTACACAAACACACTATTTACCTTCTTCTCCTTGAAGACCAGGGTGGCCCATTTGTCCAGATTTTCCACGGAAGCCTGGATTTCCTGGTATTCCAGGGAGACCTGGCATGCCCTTGTGCCCCTTTGGACCCAAAAACCCTGTAAACAGATAATAGCTATTTACACAATGAACTGTGATTCTGGAGCGCAGCAACAGTACCACAGAAGAAGTTTATATGTCACATTCATGACTGCATTAGTTGAGGCTAAAATTGATGCTTTGAATTCTTGTACCTGCATCACCAGGAGGTCCAGCAGGGCCTGGATTTCCATTGTGTCCATGAGGTCCTTGAATACCCATTGGGCCAGGTGCTCCTATCTCCCCTGGAAGTTTCTTTGGAATTGGTGGAAGTCCTTTAGCACC